GAAAATTTTGTTTCCTTGACAACCCAAAGCCCCCAAACTTTGAATTAATCTAAAACTGATATTTGTAGATCAGGCCTGCAACAAAATTCATGTTTTCCTGGTCTTTGAGTCTCTCCATTAGATGACATATTTTTAAAGGCAGAGAATTAGGAAGAGATGGTTTGTAATGATTTGAAGTTTTCTAATTATATCTAATAGCTTCTCTGTAGATTCCTACATTTTCTCTGAAACAATTCTTTCACTTGTGAGTATGAATCACATCAAAGCTGGAATTGTTCTCTGCTGTCTTCAGTCTGACTTTCTGCTCCTCAGCCTAGATAATGTGAAAAGCTGTGTTGAGTGAACTTCCATATTTTTATAGTCCATTTTCACCCCTTCTTTCTCCAGGCTGTCAGTATTTGTATGTAAGTGGCCATCACAGAATCATTTATCATTTAAGCATAAACATAGTTTTTTACTTCAATGTTTTTGATCAAGCATCCAATGTTTAAAGAACAAAATTCTGGGGAGGAAGAAATTCAATTATAGTCTTAGATAGGGATAGATGATTCCTAACAAAGTGGGCATACAACCAGATAGGAGGAAGGCAGAAGATGCTCTCTGGGTTCCTTTTGCCCAAGACTTCCTTATGGAAAGACTTTCATTGGCCAAATTTCTTCCCCATCACTAGTAATAAGACAAGTTGACAGTGTGTAATTCCTGAGATGGGACACTATGCCGGACTATCTCTTCTGTGATATTCTTGTCAAAAATACATAGTCTCAATATAAGCAATAGAAAAGATCAGAAAAAAAGTCTTAAAACTTATTTATCAGTACATTTGAAAAGTCTGAAGGTCAGGAAAGACTAAGAAAGAATAAATAACTGTCACAGATCAGAGGAGATTAAAGAAACATGACGATTGAATGCAATATTGGATACTTTAATTTCATTCTGTATCTAAAAAAAGGAATCAGTGGAAACAAAATTAGGGAAATCCATATCTGTACTTAATACTATTACATCAATGTTAGTTTTATGGTTTTGATCATTAGACTGTGGTTATGTAATATCTAAGATGTTTATCATTAAGGAAACGTGGAATTATATTGATCAAATTTTATTATTGCTGAAACGTTTTTTAAGACTAAATTTATTTCTAAATTAAGGGAAATATAAAAATAATTACATATGAGAAAAGATATGAGTTCTTATTTGTAGTTATTTTATACAAATGGAGTCTTGTTAGGAATCTCAGGCTGCCATCTGATCTGGGCTCAGGTGATCCTTCTGTGTAGTTAGGACTGTGGATGAATGCCAAAATGTCCTGCATAGACCCTGAGTTCTTAATGACTAATTCTTCAGGTATAATCCTATATTTCCTCCAATTATCTATAGTATATTTACTTATTTGCTTAATCTTAGGCAGGACATAGATGTTTTGATATTCCTAGGGGATACTTCTGAGAATAAGAAATCTAGACAGTAGAGTTCAGTTCTTCCTTTGAGCTCTGTTTCTCCTTAAGTCAATGATGTGGACACGGGATTTTCTACTCAGAATTTATTTATGCTAATCCACAGCTCCATTCCCTTTCAATGGAGTCCTTATATTCAGTAAATGCACTTTAGAAAACACTTCTCATGATAATGTCATAAAGGTTTGTTGCATTCTCTCTGCAGAAAGAAAACCAATTTAAGTATGAAATGAAAAAGCATATATAAAACCACTATTTCAAGGCTCTGAAAATAACGGAAAACAGAGAATAAATTGAGAAGCTTTAATTCTTAAATAAGTACTAGAGATTTGGGTAAGAAAGGGGAAACTTTGTGGCCTTTTGCCTGGGGTTGCTCCCTTCTAACAAAGGACAATGAGCAAGAACTGAAAACTGCAGTAGGACCAACACGAGATGACAACAAACACAAGCAGCTTGTTGCCAAGGGGTCTACCTGAGTTCCGGTAGGGAGTGGAGCAAGATCTGTCAGTGTTTCCAGCTAAATGTGCTGAGGTCTATAGGGAAGGAACAGAAAAAGCCCACAGCTTTGCTAGTCCAAGGTGATGGCCCAGGTTGAGACAAGTGATAGATGAGCTGAAAGCTAATGTAGATTCCTGGAAATGGTAGAATCACAAAGTTGATGAGATAACCTCTGCATACGTTTTAGAATTAAAACAGAGGTCGAGAAGGATGAGTGGTAAATACAGAAGGAAGTAGGAACTGCTGCAGTTTTCATGAACTTCCCAAATCACATGCAGGTGAATTGGGAGAAGCATCTCGAGTGTCTGATGCTTCAGCAAAGCCTCCCAAATCATTGATTACCATTAAACAATACAGATAAAGGGACAGGTCCCAGAAAGTCAAACCATAAGCTAAAACTAAGGATAATACAAAAGAAGTGATATCAGTAAAAGTGATATCGGTAGTTAACTATTAAATGGGAAACAACTCAAAATAATTATAGATGTTTAAGAATGGTGGTTAATCTTTGATCTATGATCAAAGGCTAAAAAAGGCAAATGAGAAGAAAATCTTTCAACAAATAGGGATTTTCCATAGAGAAGTAGAAGTTATGAAAAAATAGAAACAGAATAGAAATTATCTATTCAAAAGAAAAAAGATTAAAGCAAATGAACAAGTCCTCAGAGCATTAGAGGTCAGTGTGTATGGAGGTCACCAGGAGATGTGAGAGAGAAAGGAACTCAGAAAAATACTTGAAAAAATGATAGCAAAAGCTTTTAAAATGCAGCACAATACATGACTGCATCGATGAAAGAAACTCAATAAAGCACATTCTGGTGAAACAGAACAAGTTCAGAATGACACACATTACAGTTAAAATTACAAAATACAATGACAAATGTTAATTCTTCAATTCAAAAATTGTCATCTTCCCAGCAAAACACCCAAGAACTAAAAACAAGTGGAGGAAAAATTAAATTTGTCCTTTCTCCTACTGAGGCAGAATAGATTTTTTTCTCTGTTAGTTTCCTTCCAAACTCAGACAATATTTCCCATCACTTTGCTCACAAGAGAGGGCCCCACCCACCACTTATTTCTTTCAACACCACTGCACCCACCAGGGGATTTGCATACTGTCCCCTAGGGAGGACCTTCCCTTGGGAGTCTGAGATAAAAGCTCAGCTCTGACCCTGCCTTGACTGATCAGGACTCCTCAGTCCAGCTTCTCACAATGAGGCTCCCTGCTCAGCTCCTGGGGCTGCTAATGCTCTGGGTCCCTGGTAAGGACAGAAGGAGATGAGGAGGGGAAATGATGCGGGAGGGGAACCTCCAGGGGCCCGCTGCCTCTAATGTGCTCTCTGCGCGTGTTAGATGTGCATGTCTGGTTCTCCAGGATACAACATGTGAGGTTCAGATCTCAGAGAATGAGGAAGATTCTAGAAGGAGCTATGAAAACTCTGACTCAGACAGAGGGGAAGATATGGGGAACCTCTAGAGGTTCTCTCATGGCTTGAACATCTCTGTTCTTTTTCAAATTGAATATTTTGAGGGCCTGAGACAAAATCACACACAGAAAATAATTTAGTGTAGAATAAAGAATGAAAATTATGAAAATGTCTACGAATAATTGTACATAACCTTGCAGTTCTTTCTCCTTCTTTTAGGATCCAGTGGGGATATTGTGATGACCCAGACCCCACTCTCCCTGCCCATCACACCTGGAGAGCCAGCCTCCATCTCCTGCAGGGCTAGTCAGAGCCTCCTGCACAGTAATGGATACACCTATTTGGATTGGTACCTGCAGAAGCCGGGCCAGTCTCCACAGCTCCTGATCTATTTGGGTTCCAACCGGGCCTCTGGAGTCCCAGACCGGTTCAGTGGCAGTGGGTCAGGGACAGATTTCACCCTGAAGATCAGCAGGGTGCAGGCTGAGGATGCTGGGGTTTATTACTGCATGCAAGCTCTAGAAGTTCCTCACACAGTGATACAGCCCCAAACACAAACTTCCCTGCTGGGTGGCCCAGCTGCCCACCAGTGTTGTTTGTCTGGTGAGCAGGCACCATAGCCTGAGTTGTGAGGAACTAAGGGTAACAGGCTGCAGGTGAATCCTGTGGACTGTGAGGCCCCAGCTTCATCTCAGACAGTACATACAGGACCTGTCAGATGGGCCAGCCTGGCCTGGTGGCACCACAAGGAGAATGGAGGGGGTTGAAGTGCCCCCTGACAACCAGACTGGACTAAAGAGACGGAGGGAAAGCTCATCCGAATCTTCCTTGCCTGGCCTGCATTTACTTTTCAATTAAATCATAACAGAATTAAATCATAACAGCTTTGCCATTGAAGCTGACTCATAGCATTCTAAAATTAATATATATTTTCCATGTCATTTTGGTTAAATAGCTACCAGTGCACATGAAGCTGGATTGGGTTAGTGGGATGGGCTCTATTCCTTCACCTCTACCCAACTTCACACTCGACACCCCAGTTTTTAACACAAGTTTATGTAATAAGGGACAGATCCAATATTTTACACTGTTTCAGGGAATACTGAAGTAAAACTGTCGAACTATTGTATTTTAACTATTTTAAATCTATTTTAAAATCAAAAGTCATGCATCAAAATCATTGATCAGTCTAAGTCATGTTGAAGTAAAATGTGATTTCTGAATCCCAAATCCGGATTGTAAAAATAAATGACCAAGTCTGACAGAAATAGAGGACATACAGTGTATGCTATAGTCAACAGAATTTAGAAAATGGTAATTTTTTGCCACCCCCAAAATAATAATATCAGGACTGGGGCAGCAGTAGAAAAGGAGAGCAGGAAGGACACGAGGAGTCAGCTGTTGCTACAATACCCAGCTCTGCTGCTCACGTTTGTTGGGGTGGGGGGGCTGGTGGTGTTGGGCTTGAGCTACAAAGCCTGATGGAAACTCACATGTGTGTCTTGGAAAGAATCTCAGTGTTGATAGTCCCTGAGTGGCCCTCAGGCTGTGCCCTGATGCCACTGCAAGCTCAGGGGGAAGTCCTCCAACAAGAAGACTTTAGGGTCTCATGACCCAAGGGTTAGTGAAGTTCCCACATGAATGGATTTTAGGCCATACCACATATTCCTAGTAAGCTGGTAGGGTACAGTTGAGCATTCAAAATTGATTATTCCTACATATTTTATCTGGAGATTATTTGAAAGGAAATGGTCCTTCAGAAGAGAACTCATATAAAAGCACTGTATTCTGCTGTGTACAGAATGGGCCTGGGAGGGTGCTCTGCATTCTAGTTCTTTCTTGCTCCTCACTCTTACTAGTGCAGATGTGACCATGTCTCCTTTGATTTAAGAAAGAATAGCAATTATGATACCTGACAAGTGTATTATATCATCAATCAGGGTCCATAGATCAAAATAGAAGCTACTTTAAGATTCCAGGTAGGAAATGTTTTAAAATAGCAAAAGTAGAATGAAAAATAGAAACCTGCACGTAGGGTAGTCAGGGATGCTGATAGCAGACACAGGAGAATCCTGGGGGCGTTGTCAATAGTCAGAGTCTATCTGCTACTGGAGTTATGGGCTGCTTAACCACTTGGTCCTCAGACCAGTCTGGGAAGCCCAAGGTGGGGCTCCTGCTGGTTCAGATTTTCTTCCAGAGAATCCCCCATTCCTCGGCTTTATCCGGGTGTCTGCCTACAAGTGTCACTAAATATTGAATCATCCTCTTTTGACTTTCACATATGAAGGAGGGGCCATTCACTGAGTAACTCTACAAGAAACCATAGAGGGAAGAGAGATTTGGGGAACTGTGTTTCAAGAAATGATGGTGATACCAAGTAAGGTCAATATTTCCCCAAATCTCAACACTTTTCAGGTCTGAGATTGTGTTAGAATGTGCTGGAATGTGGTTTCACTTATTACTAGGAAGTCTGAGATCATTGCAGGAAAATGCTACTAAGCCATAGAGTAAGAAGGAAAATGAGAAAATTGCCCAGAATATATAGCAATCATTTGATAAACAAATAACAACCCTCTGTTGACAAAACAAACAGGAAAACCTAAAGGTGAATATAGTATAAATTGTCCTTCATAGGAAAACTTTGTTACTCAATGTTTGTCCGGATGCCAGTGCAGCATCAAGACTGATCCCTGTGAGCATGTCACACCTGCCAAGTAGCAAATGCATCTCAGGCATGTTGAATGACAGTCTTAGTTTTAACAAATTAATGGGTAATCTACAATATGTTCAAGCAGCTGCATTTTAAATGTCATTTGCTTTAATGAAAGATATTTCTTTTTCCAATGGAAAAGTCTTCTGTTGAAAACATGCCCGGTTTCAATTCTATTTAATGCAAAATTATATTTGAAAAAGATTTTATATGAGAGAAATAAAAATTATGAAAACCACGACTATTTTTCCATAGGAAAATACCTTCAAAATTAAATGTAGTAAATATTTCAGAGACTTTACAAATTAATAAAGTGAAAGAATAAATTAAAATGGTTTGCAACTATGTTAGAGGTAGATTCATGCACTTACATTTGCCTGCTTTGCTTGATTTGGGGATGTTATTCAGGCTTGCTACTTGCCATGCAAATGTTTTCCTAACATAGTCACTGTCTTGGTCCCGGATCAAACACAGTTCAAAGGCTGGAGCCAAGCTCAGTGTCCAGCAGTAGAACCGCCATGCTGCTACCTTAATCTGCCAGATGATTGTTAACATGAATATCCACAATCATAAAAATAAATGCTAAGTTTTATTGACCATGCAATTTTAAGAGGTTTTATAAGGATATGTACATTCTTCTGTAAAGGAGGCAAATATTATTCTTGTTATTCAAATAAGAATTAGACTCCCTGCTCAGCTCCTGGGGCTGCTAATGCTCTGAGTAACTGGTAAGCAGATGAGGAATGAGACTGGGGTGGGGGGGAAGCTCTAGGGCCCACTGCCTCCCATGTGTGCTCTGTGCACATTTTAGATGTGCATGTCTGGTCCCCATGGATGGGGCATGTGAGGCTTAGAACTGAAAGAGTCAGGAAGATTCCAGAAGCAACAGGGCCATTCATCTGGTGACAGAAGGAGCAGAGCCATTCATCTGGTGATAGCTCCTACACAGAAAATACGGGATGGTTTAGAGGACTTCTAGAGACCCCTCTATACTGTGAAAAATTGGCGAACACTTTAGGAATTGGAACTTTGGGGCATAAGAATCAAAAGCGCAGAAAATTGAATTAGCCAGAAATATTAAAATATAAATAAAAATTGATCATAATGCTTGCAAATAGACTCATTTTTGTCTCTTATTACTTTAGGATCCACTGGGGACATTGTGATGACCCAGATTCCACCCTCCCTGATCATCACCCTTGAAGAGCCAACCACTGTTTCTTGCAGGTCTAACAAGTGCCTTATGAATAAGTGATGGAAAAACTTATATGAGTTGGTTCCTGTTCAAGCCAGGCCAGTCTCTACATTTCCCAGTGTATAAGATCTCCAATTATTTGTCTGAAGTTAAGACATGTTCTGGGACAGTGGGTCAGGCACACATTCATTCTTCAGATGTGCAGAGTACAGTCTGAGTATATTGCTGTTTGTCACTGCATGTGGGCTACAGGATATCCTCCCACAGTGATACAACCCTAAATACAA